AAGTATATATATATATATATATATATATATATATATATATATATATATATATATATATATATATATATATATATATACCCCATTGCCCATGTTACTCATGTAATTGTGTAATATTGATTTAGAGTTCCAGAAAATTCCTTCAACAAAAGACACGGCAGATATACTAGGTTACCCACAGGGCAGTAATGCTGCCTTTGACAGCAGAAGACAAACTACAGGGTGTTGAACGAGTCCTTCAGAAACATCCTATTATTGTTATCCTTGTTAACACAGAAAATTTAAACGTTTTTCACGTTTTGCTTAAAATGTCTAATTTTAAACATTGAATGTTGAAATTAAAGCTTTGTTCTGATTCAAACTGCATTAGATTACACACACCCGCTGTTAAATTGGATTCAATTCTCAAAGGCCTCATCCAAGATTGCTCAAAGAATAAAAATCAAGTTGGAATTATAAATCTCAATAGATTCATTGCAATTATACCAATAGGTGTGTTTAGCTGCAGAATCACAGCACATGCATGCATGCAGTTCCCTCTAAACGGATATACCCATCAAATGCAGTGGACACAAAATTCGGATCGGCCAGACGCCCATGCGTTTCACGGTTTAGGTTTGTTATGTTTTTCTGTTAAGGAAAGCAACAATTAATTTATTTGTTGGGGAAACAAGTTATTAACCATGCGTCAAGTTGCGTCAATGCAAATCTGCACTCAAGGCCTATATCCTATACTTAAGTGCGGAACATGTTTGCCATGTTTGTTTTATGATGCGTTCCACAAAACGATAAAATTAGCTCAGACTCTGCATGGACAAAGTGGGCAAGCAGAATCAGCGCGAAATTACTGATGCAGTTCTATATAATAAGCGTCTGCATTAGCCTGCATGCAAAGCAAACGTTTTGGTTGGACGTTTCCACCATAAATTCCTGGGGGTTAAACACAGACATTATCAACAGTGGCAGTAAATATCCTAATAATGAGATCATGTTTCTTTTGGCACTGCAGGTGACGAATCGGTATTCGTATTTACCGATGGTTAATTAAAACATTTTTACCATCCGTTGCATATCGTAATAACTACTAATATTGGACATGTATGCATGGGCTTTATACGCTAGCTCTGCTAGGGGAAGAAACTACAAAACTACGACTCATTTCCCGTACGCAATACAGTTCGTTGAAGCAAGTCTCAGTAACCACAAATCGGCCAACGCCAAACCGAGTCATGTCCGCTACGTTAGTTGTGGACTTGTGGTTGTAGTTGTTAGTTGTTTAATATGAATAAGTATAGTATAATAATATTTAATAAATGCAAAATTACATGATAACATATATATATATATATATATATATATATATATATATAGCCTATATATATATATATATATATATATTGAGTTGTGTAATTGTACACTCCGTAATATGTTAAGGTGAAAATGTTCTCGAGTGTGTATTATATAATTTCCATACCCAGCGTAAGCAGAAAGATAAAGTCTGCCGCGGCTGGGTCTTGAACCCGCGACCTTCGAATTACTAGATCGACGCTCTGCCAACTGAGCTACACGGTCAGACGGATTTAAGACTGGAAATTAGTAACGCATCGTAAAACATCCAGGTAAACATGTTCCAATTTATTCCTATAAATACGCAAATTGACGCATGGTTAACAACTTGTTTCTCCAATTGTTATAAAAACTATTTCATAGTTCATACAGGAACTTTTAAATTCACCGGAGTCCGGAAAGGTACGTATAAAACCTTTTATATGAAAATTGTGAACAAAATTTAAAAAGTTCCTTTAATTAAAGCATTTGCACAAGACGTGGACTAATAGTAGACTAATATTATACATTATAACGAACTAATAATAAAATGTGGCTAATTTGACTATCTTTTAAAATAATTACATGCAACAGAAATGATGAAATCACATTATAATTTTGATAAATCATAATACAAAATAAGCTTGTTTATGACATCACAGGAAGCAGACAAACAAATATAAGCGCGCCACTAAATCGTGTTGAAGAGCATAGCAATTATTTGCCTGTGGACGCTGGACCAGAGGATCTCGAAATTGATTGGCAAAAAGTCATTTGGAAGGTAAGCTGGGAGAATATCTAGTTCGTCTTTTTTCAAGCTTGGTTTGTTGCATGTTGCGTGAGTCCATTGCATTATTCAAGATTTTTGCAGTGATAGAGACAAGTAGAAATGCGGGACAGCCAGCGAAATATATCGCGGGCGCAAAAATTCGCGCAATTCTGCAGCGTCACTGATAATATACCGCTAGAATCAGACATCTCAAGCGAACTTTAGAGCCAATTATATATGCGTATATATGAAAAATGGCAACCAAGGAGTAATATTTATCAGTAGCAAATTTATAGTGAACTTTTAAGTCCATGTCTGATCTATTTTATTCCAATATATTTACTTCCCTATATACGGTGCAGCGCTCTAACCATGCAACTGAGCAACATGCAAGGTGACGCATGACAATACACAGTGTATAATGTGAGCTTATCTTTTCTATATATTCTTTTCTGGCATAAACATGAATTGGTCATGCATATGGACATATACGAACATGTGTACATGATCGAGAGTGCGGCTAAAGTAGTTTTTCCCTATCCATGCACAGGCACTGTTCTTCAAGAAATTAAATTAAATAGAGTATACAGAGCAGCACTGGATACAGGTCCCGACAACTGCAGAGTTAAAAACCATATATATGCTGGATGTTTTATTGTAGAAATGATAAGGACATCCTAATTCTTGCAATTGCTATATATATATATATATATATATATATATATATATATATATATATATATATATATATATATATATATATATATATATATATATATATATATAAATATATATATATATATATATATATTATATATATATATATATATATATATATATATATATATATATATATATATATAATGAATGAATGTCGCAATCTATAAGAGTATTAAACACACATAAAAACCCTCAACTATAAGCAACATATTTTCATTTTAGCCTTACACATATATAGATATATATAGATATATATAGATATATATAGATATATATAGATATATATAGATATATATAGATATATATAGATATATATAGATATAGATATATAGATATATAGATATATAGATATATAGATATATATTTTGGAATGTGAACTTCAACTATATACATTAAAAAAAATTTAAAAATTCAGTTCATTTACTCGAGTTTCACGCCTATATTGGCGATCATCAGACTGCCTGTCCGTATTAAAACGTCCTTATTTATACCTATTTTAAACTATATAAAATTAGCATAAACCTTTACATAATTACAATTTAAATTATTTACGTTACATTACTAGCATAAAACTTGTTTTCATGCCGACATTTTGATGTTATTTCTGATCGTTTGTTTAGAAGAGTTCCCTTGTGAGCGTTTAGAATTGCCATTTTTTCTGCCAGGCACAGTTTACAAACTCTTGTTCCGCTTGCAGGCATATATGGTTTAGCCTGCTTCAAAATTGACCATTTCATTTCATAATCCCTTTTCGTTTTCTTCAGGTCCCAAATGAATTTCGATAGCGCTGTTTTGTTTGCATAGTCTTTGTTTTAAAATGATAGGGTATATGGTTGTAAAACCTCGTTTTGAATTCCGATTCCGCCATGCCGACGTAGACGTATACCTTAGGGTCGTCGTCTTTTCCTGGTTCAAACTTCAAAGACTTTCGCTTGGTATATTGTAGCTGCATGTTGTTAAACATTGCTTATCTAATGGGCAGTTATTCTCGTTTCTACAATTGCATCCGGCGCTGCTTGCTTTCTCCTTGTTTAAAACTTTTTTGTTATGTCCTTTAATTATGCTAGCGATGTTATTCATGCAACTATAGCTTATCTTTATTGTATTTCGGTTAAAGATCTTTCTTAAAATGTTGCCAGGTGGGAAATGCTTGTCAACAAGTTCCAAAACTGCTCTGCCAACATTTGTTAGCACATTTGTTGAGTATGGTGGAGTAAACCAAATAACGTTCCGCGCTCTATTTCTGCGTGGAGGATTAAACCAAATAACGTTCCGCGCTCTATTTCTGCTCTATTAATTCGCTCCACAATTTCTGTGTTGAGCACTCTAGCTAAGTGGGCTATCCAACTTGTATGTATATAGATATATAGATAGTTATATATAGCTAATTCAAGAAAGAGTAGAAACTTTAAGGTTGTCCTTCGAAATCTCAAACCTTAACTCTAAGCCCGCAAAGAGTGATGGGTTACTTCTTTTTAGGGCTTTTGATTAGGAAAATAATCCTAGTATATACACTGCTAGTTGTACATCTTAAGAGCTTATTAGGCTATCTGTCTTGCTATAGCTACAATGCAAAATTCGCACGTTTTAGGCTTTAAATAAGAAGTTACCCATTACACCTTGCGCGCTTAGAGTTTAAGGTTTGGAATTTTTGAAAGACAACCTTTTTTGAAACAGCTGTATATATACACGTCTGTATGATTAACTGCATGTGCATGGTCTTTTAGTTTGAATGTTCTTGCTTGTTCATGATGAGCGGTTGACAAATGACACGAATGTTGGGAATTTCTTGATAATTCCAGTTTATAAGCTACTAATGAATAACCTCAGTACAGACAATAGTATATGAATCAGTGACTGTGGATATTCTCAAATAAAAGCAAATAGAAGTCTAGTTCAGATCTTATAATTCTTGTTTTATGGTTCTTCAATTTTGCGCCAGAAAGTGCAGGAAATAGCATTTCCGAACTTCGGTTTTTAGAATTGGGGGAGCATGCCCCCGGATCCCCCTAGTTTTAATCGTGCTCTCGTCAAATTTCAGCCCCCTAACTTAAAACATGTTCCTACGCGTCCTCAGGGCGTCGCTACACCTCTTTGAATGGGGGGGGGGGTGTAAGTTAATTTTGCCGAGTTATCATTACAATCGCTAATTAATATTTCTTTTCCCAAAATTGTTGGCGAGCGGGGATGGGGTTGGGGGGAGCTCGGTAAATTTTTTCTGGACATATAAAAAATTTTCGGAACATATTCAAATTTTTCCGGACATACAAAAATTTTTCCGGACATATCATAATTTTTTCTTAAAATACAAAAATTTTCCCCTACATAGCATCACTTTTAATTCCGAGCCACTCAAATATTTTCGCTCACCACGAAAACAATTTTCCGATAAATCCGAAAACAATTTGCCGATTCTAGCAGACATTTGCCGAATCTACGCCCCTGCATAGCATACAGATTTATGTTCGTGAGTAAAAATTTGGTGTCGTCCACTAACTTCGTTGGCTACTAACGTCCGAAGAAGGGCCTTCGAATTTCTTCGAATGGCATCGTACGTCGAATTCGTACGTCTCCTTTTCGGTATTTTTCAAGTGGTTGCATCCCTGTCAACCAGTTTTGTCGTTCATGAGTGTACGTCGACGACGTGAGATGAACCAGTCAATCTTGGACATAACTGGTTGAGACTATATATACCTTTCCCTGTATGCAAAATTCACATACCCCTTAATTTAAAGATATATATTTTTGCTGGTGTATAGTGGTGAAGCGAGAAAAGTATGTATGGATCTAAACCTACAACCTGCAGTATATTCTTTAGAACATATCTACTGGAACTGTGTAGTATAATGTAAAGTTGCAGATGCAGCTATTATAAAGCCAAGAAAGGCGGAGCTTAATGTCAATGGAAAGATAAGAAGTTCTTTGGAAGCTTTCGCACCGTGGTTGAGATCAGGTTTTCGTCTGCGTATAGGAAGAGACTCCTTAAATAACAATAGAAAACGTAGTCTGACCTATCAATTATTTTACAGTTTCTTAAAAAAATTATTATACCCCAGAAAGAGTTGGCAAACTTTTGCCATTATTTAAAAAAAAATTAAAAGTGTACTATATCAGTACATTTCTGGAAAGGCCAGATTAATCAAGAAGGTGGAAATCAAGGCAAGTTAAGTCAGGAACATTCAAAATATATTCAAAATAAATTATAAATTTTGAATTTGAAAAATAAATTTTTGAATTAGTAATGATAAACATCGTCAAGCTGTTACAAAGTCAGAATTTCAGCTCATAAATTACCTGTTGAAACTGGTCGATATCAAGCAATGAGTCCGCCAATAACCAATGTTCCATATACGATAAAACTATTAAAATAATTTGTCAACATTGGATTTAATTTCAACGAGGTTGGAAAGGAACAGCACTATAGTATTTAATGCGGTGCAACATTACGATGCAAGCCAGGTTCATTGATCTCAGAGATTTTATATATAGCTTAACCAAATAAATCACTCGTTTCGTTCTTTTAATAATCATGACTTGTTTATGCATGTTATTGCAATGATATGAAAGACAAATCCGTGGGGACATTGGTACCAAGTATTGCTTTGATGTCCTAACAAATCAGTTTCAGCATGAGCTCCATCTTTGAATTTACTATACGAGTAAATTATCAATACAATAAATTCGCAACACATGTAATTGCATGAGCACTAATACTAACCCTAACATAATCTTAATCTAACCATGACTGTTTTTTTACTCATATAGTAAATTCAAAGGTGGATCTCATGTTGCAAATTTTGATCAATTGTAACTAGTATAATTCTAATTCTTAATCTAGTTCTTAATTCTTAATATTTTATAATTAGCTCTGTTTGAATAAAGTTTGTTTGTTTGTTTGTTTGTTTGAAATATTCAAGGGTGGGTTGACTACAACATTTTTGTAGTTCGCTATAACTACAGCTACTTCAAAAATATGTAGTCAGCTACAACTACTGCTACTTTTGAACAAAGGTAGTTCGCTACTGACTACAGCTATACTGCTTAAAAATGTAGCGAACTATTTCGCTACTCTATATTTTTTAGTTTTACGGTATTTGGGCTCAGGCTGTAATTTAACCTATAACAAATCGACTTACGAGTAGCAACAGTAAACAAAAAGGGTCAATTAAAGAAACATTTTTGTAAGCACTATACAGTGTTCAGGAGTGCCACTTTTCAATGCGCTAAAATAATCTTTACTGTATAAAATAATCTTTACTGTATAAAATAATCTTTTAAGCAAACCGTGTCTTAATATCATTATATTCTACGAACGGTTGCTAACAATTTTAAAAAGTAGCGAATAGCGATTCGCTGTTTGAAAAGTAGTCAACGACCGTCAACTACTTGGCTATTTTTAGGCAAAATGTAGTTCGCTATAACTACAACTACTGTTTTAAAAAAGTAGTCAAAAACTACTGGCTACTTGAAAATTGTAGTTTGCTACAGTAGCGAACAACAACTACTTCGCTACTACCCACCCTTGGAAATATTATTGATACCAGTTTCACTGTAAAAGTATATACGATAACGAGCGAGAAATCTGTATATACCGCCTCCTTACTGTCCTTACATGTCATAAAGGAAGCGTTTACACTGTACCGTTTTCGTAGCGTTCTCGTATTGTTCTTAATCCTCAAGGGAACGCAAGACAATAGTCTAGTTCTCTCGAACAATACGAGAACGCTACGAAAACGGTACAGTGTAAACGCTGCCAAAGGTTAAGGTCTATATAGCTACAGCAGCTCTGCCTGGCATGGCAAACGCGGGTTTTTATTTGGAAGTTATAAAGTGCGCGTGAAAATCCTTAATTTTTTTTAGTCGAGAAGCAGACTTGATCGAAGCAAAGCTGATATAAATCAGGTACATGTTAATACAACGTGTAATTATGACAAATAATAGTATATAAATATACACGTGCGGGAGACCAAAACAGCAAAAAGATTTTATAAACAGCATTGTTATGCATGACCGGTGCCATTGTTCTTCGTACAAAGAAAGATGTGTTTGTAGCCGTTATCTGATAATGCATTTGCAAGGAATCAGAACTGATTTCATTTGTGTAATATGAACTGCACGCAATCTATAAAGTTGATATATAGTCACCGAAACTATGCAGTCCTAGGAATCAGTGATTTTTATGGCGGTTTTCTATAATAACTAGCTGTTGATGTCCCATCTATTTAGACTATTAAGTCTCATAGTCATAGAAGACACGTGTCATCGATGGATGAATTAATTTCCCTGACTTGATCTTGCAATTTATTTCAAGGTATATAGTATATATAAAGAATGGAAAGCGTTTATTATAGTTGGTCTGAACTACTGAAAAAGGCTTTGGAATATAACCACATAAAATTTTGCCTTGATTTTAATCCAAGTTGTATTTTCAATATGCATATTTTCGAATTTGTTTTACCTTGTATTAAATTAAATTAAAATGTCAGCTGTAAATGGATTTAAAGGTGAGTTTCGTGGTAAATGCTAAATGCGTCCGCCGGAGGCCACGCATGAACATATTTCTACGGCAATTCATTCAATTTCCAACCTGCAAACGGACGTACTCTACCTTGCGAAATTAGGGAATTCGTTACGACTTACGGCGAAAAGTAGGCCTCGGAACATAATTTCTTCCATGTTTTATGTAAGCTTGCACGCATGCCATGGAAATAAATTATATGCATGCAGGATAAATCGAATTTCCACTTATTAATTCAACCTCTTTTTATCTGGCTATATAGATAATGGTGACACGAAATATTTCCAATCTAGCTTGCTGTTTAATACCTTTTCTGACTCTCTTCATTTTGATTGTATGGACGTACGAGAAAATGGTTAGTTATTAATAACTTGACATTATACTCTTGCAGGCATGGCTGAAAGCCACCACATAGTTCACCAATTTTTTCAGTGATTTAAAAATATTAACTGTTTAAAAATTTTGTTTATCAAAATTAATTTTCCTAACTAACAAGGACTAAAATTTTAATTGCAGTGGAGTGAAACTATCCAGACACAAAGTATCAGTAATGGTAAGTAATCATGAGTAAGTAAACAGTGAAATGCAATGGACCATTCCCCAATTAACCAAAATTTTGAACTCAACAAGTCTAGACAAAAATTTCATCACAGCTTGAAAGAGCTTCACAAAATTAGTAATATTCTAAAGTTTCATTGGAAAATGTTGTAAAATGCGGATAATATAGCCTTGCGAAGTTTGCAATTTTCAGTCATTTTAGATTACAAACGGGAAATGGTTACCACTTCTGTGCGTAATACAAAATGACTGAAAATTGCAAACTTCGCAAGGCTATATTATCCGCATTTTATAACATTTTGCAACGAAATTTTGGAATATTGCTAATTTTGTGATGCTCTTTCAAGCTGTGATGAAATTTTTGTTTAGGCTAGTTATAAGATCAAAATTTTGGAAAAGTGGTAACCATTTCCCGTTTGTAATCTAAAATGACTGAAAATTTCGCAAGGCTATATTATCCGCATTTTACAATATTTCGCAACGAAACTTTGGAATATTAGTACTAATTTTGTGATGCTCTTTCATGCTATGATGGAATTTTGTCTAGACTTGTTGAGATCAAATTTTGGTTAATTGGGGAATGGTCCATTAGCAGCAGATCAAAGATTCTGATCGGTCAAAAGAGAACCTACAAGACAAAAACTCATCAGCTCCAAGGGCGGCTGCATTTCTGGCGTTTACTGAAACGAATTTGCAAAAGTATTGCATACCAATCGCCTGCACTTTTACACAAAATTTCGGTTATGCATGTGGCGGTTCTTCAGGAGACCATTAGATATCACTTTACAAAATGTAACGATTTATCACCCAAATGTTTAATTCGGTTGCCGGAAAAGAGAACCAGCATAACAAGACTAAAGAACTCGCTCAGCAGAAAGAAATCGCGATTGCTTTTAAATAAAGATCATGAGTGCCGCGGCTGATCTGAGCGCGCGCGCGGGTTGACAAGTCGAGAACTTTCTGCCAATTAAGGGACGGACCATTTGATTTTTTATGGGGGGGGGTGGGTAAATTTTCAGTCTGCTCGATATTTTTTTTCCGTCTCCTGACACTGATTTTTTTTTTGTCAGTCAGAGGACTTGCACGATATTTTTTTGTATGCGTGTATATACATTTTTTAGTTTTTTGTTTTTACATTTTTTACGAGTACTGGTGTAAGACATTGTATAGCCTAAATAATGAGAGGACCAGTATTCCAAAAATGGCTGTCGTTTTTCATTTCTTTACTCCGCCTCCTATGATGAACATGTACATAAAAAGTAGGCGCAAACTACGATTATATATAGAAACTAAAGTAGGTGAAATTTTTATGGGACTCCATAAAAGGTGAGGATATAAGAGTGAAAGATTGAAATTGGGTAGGAAAGGCAACCCTGTACGCGTTTCGACCTAACAGTCTTCTTCAGCAGGGCTTTTTAAAGGGTATATAGAATTTGCCGGGAGAAGAAAGGAGAGTTTAGGAGTTCGGAAAGTAATGTGAACTTGGATCCTCTACGTAGCAAATCCACATCAGAACTAGCTATAGCTATCTATTGGTCATATTGTATCATTCATTTACTAATCTCTGTTTTGGTTTTGTTACATATGTACATGTTTTAGTTATTATTGTATATTCATATATCAGTAAACAAAAATCAAACCGTGCACGGTGTTATCATTATTTTTATCCCTTATGTATCACTAATTTCCAAACGCCCCTATCCCTGTCTTATAAGCTCCTACACCACTAACGCCATATTTGGATGCAATCACCTACAGTCACATGATCACCCTTACCATCACAATCATTCAAACTCACTATACCATTGAGTAAGTTAACCCTTAATTGAAGGGCCTGCAAATTTGCTTCACTTCACCAGTACGAACGATGAACAATAAAGTGCGTAGTGTTGGAATGTCCCGCAAACAACAAGACCTTTGGCAGGATAACTTGACTAATAACATGTATAGTAGTTATATCCTTTCACCTTCGTTTTTGTACTGTGTAATTGGTTATTTTCAGTTATTTCGTAATAATTTGTTTTCCTCTTGGTCTCACATTATTTTCCGAACTCCTAAACTCTCCTTCCTTCTCCTCTTATATCCCTTACTACACCCCCTCTTAAAAAACCCTGCTGAAGAAAACTGTTAGGTCGAAATGCATACCCCGGTACGCTATTCCTACACAATTTCAATCTCTCGCTTTTATATATCCTCGCCTTTGATCGTGTCCCATAAAAATTTCACCTATTTTAGTTTCTACGGCCGTGATTTATTCGTAGTTTTCCTAGTTTTTTTTTAACGTACATGTTCATCATAGGAATCGGAGTAAAGAAATAAAGAGCAACCATTTTTGGAATTATACTGGTCCTCCCATTATTTAGGCTACAGGGACGTAGGAAGCTCTTTTTGATTGGAGGAGCTGAAAGCAAGGGCCGAAGGCCCGAGGAAATTTTTAAATTTAGAGTCTCTGAAATCAGCTATTTCCTGGACCCTGCAGCCCC